TGGAACTGGCTTCTTTCTCTCTAATGGTTCAGCTTTTCTTTTCTTTTTTTTTTTTTTGTACCAGAGATCGAACTTGGGTCCTTGCGCTTGCAAGACAGGCAGTGGCACTGCTGAGCTAAATCCACAGCCCCTCTAATGGTCTCAGTGATTGCGATTACCTTACCCTCTTGCCCTCAAGGCCATTCTTGGCTCTGTCTTTCCAACATCAACTCGAGGCCTTGTTCTACTCCCCGTCTTTTTCTTTAGACCGAAATGTGCTCGTTTCTCTTATCCTCCGAAAACTTTCTTAGACTCTAGTTCCTCCTCCACCTACTACTCCAAATTTCTTCCCAGCATGGTCTACACTTGCTCTTTGTCTGCTGCTCATGTATCTGGCTTTCACACACACTACCCCACTGCAACTCTTCTAAATAATCTATAACATTTATCTGGCCAAATCCCACAAACAAATTTCAAATATAGTCTTATATTGGTGGCCTCTCTTTAACTTTCAGGTGCTTGGTAATTTTCTCCTAGAAGCTTTATGCTTCCTATGGTATTGTACTCATGTAATTCCTATTATATTGTACTAAAATACAATAATCACTTCTGTGACCATTACAGCTATTTGATCATTCTTTTATCTCTTTGAGATTTTTTTCTCTAACTACCTCTTAAAATGTGGTGTCTTACAGTTCCATCCTCAGCTCTGTCTTCTGCACACATCACACAGTACTTGTGTGATTTTATGGTTTTAGCTTCCCCCAGTGCTTCCAGAGAACAGGTTTCAAGCTTAGTTCATCAACCTCTTGTTGGATATTTTGAACTGGAAATTTGTACAAGCAGCTCATACTTGAACCTTGTGCTCAGTGTGGCCACACTGAAACCTAACTCTTCAATCAGACTATGAGTTCCTTTGATAAAAGCCTGTTATTCATCTTTTTATCCTTCTGGATATTAGGATCCCATCCATACTTTTGGCCAGTTGACCAACTGACCAACTAAGTGAGTAAATGCTACAGCTAACTCCAGCTCTGGATCAAAGAACATGTACATTTTCCTTTCAGTTTCTTTGCTTGTGCCATTTGCGGCTATGTTCAAGCTTAAGATGGCGGCAGCAGGCTTCTCTTTAGCTAGTTAAGGTCTCTGTTTTGATTTCACAGAGAGAAGTACCTTATTTCTCCCTTGAACTCTGCTTCTCTCCAGCAGAGAACAGTAAAAGGCTTAATTTATGCTTTCCCTTTGAATTCTAAGGTGATAGCTGAGGACAGGTCAAAGTTAGGATTCCAATATCTCTATCTTCTGGGAGATGACCTCTTCCCATACTCCCCTCCTCAGGCTGCCAGACCCTGTCGCAGGTTCTTACCTTGGAGAAGAATGACCACCAGGATAAGGCCAGCCAGGCCCTTCCCCTGCTCCATGTCAGTCTCTGTCCTTCCCCAGCGGAACTGCGGAGCAGCCCCTCATGACCAGCAGCCTGTTTGGCACCTAGCCTGGCTCCGCCCAGCACCCTTCAGACTGGGCGCCTGAGAGAAGGCAAGAAGCTACTGCCTCCACCCTCAGCTTTGAGTGCAGCCTGTGGAGGCCTCAGCAGGGCTGCAGGTGTACATGCCTTTTGCTTTTCCGTTGAGGGGTGCAGGGTACAGGAGGGAGGGCTGAATTCCCACGCAGAGACTAGGCTTGACCTGAGAACCACTTCAGATACTGGGTTGGGGGATGAGTCTGAGCCCTTTTCCAAAGGAGGGAGATGTCCCTGCCCCCAGCTGTTGTTAGGGTCACAGCCAGTTGTCACTTGATACTAGAACTAATGAATTTTGGCTGGACTCTCAGGTGCTTGGGGCTAAGGCTACGAAAGGAAAAACACCTCAATCTCAGCCTTCACTAAAGGCTTTTGTCACTGTTCTTTTGAGATCATCAGACTGGTGCTTGCCTGGAAGGGAGTAAGTGGACAATTCCAAACAGATAGCGCATTTCTGTACTTTTGGGGGTGGGTGGTAGATGGGCAGGCCCGTGCTGAGTTTCCAGGATCTCAGGCCTCTGTCTCCCTCAGCCAGTCAATAAATCAACAATAATTGACAGAATTCTCATTATATACTAGGCACAAGCAAGATAGAGGAGTGAGCAAGGCTGACATATCTCTGTCCTCAGGTGCATGACATCCAACTGGGGCAGTGTGGAGTTTCAGATCCCCATTGGTCATGGGGGGTTAAAAAGATCCACAGTAGGGCCAGGGATGTAGCTCAGTGGCACCTCAGCTGCCTGGCAAGCACAAGGCCCTAAGTTCAATTCCTAGTACGAGAGGAAAAAAAAACCCAAAAAGGTCCATAGTCTTTGGGGGAGGTTCAAATTTGCCCTAAATTAATTATATTATTATTAATAATTACTTCTTTACATAGTGAGACCATGTCTTGAAAAAACAAACAAAAAAACCCCAAAACAAAACTATTTCTTACTGATCATATTTATGTGGCAGGCCAGGCATGGTGGCACATGCCTGTAATCCCAGCACTTGGGAGGCTGAGGCAGGAGGATCACTGTGAGTTAGAGACCAGCCTGGGCTACACAATCAATTCCAGGTCAGTCTCAACTACATAGTGATACCCTGTCTCAAAAAACCAAAATGAAACAAAACAAAACAAAACATATTTATGTGACAGGCACCATGTCACTTAAAAAAATCCTCATAATGATATTCCAAGAATCAGGCTCAGCAAAATTCTTTGACTGGCCCTGTGGGTAGCAAGCATTGGTGCCAGGATTCAAATATCTGTGTGTGTGACTCTAAAGTCTAACTTCCCACTGGCTAGAAGCTGCTTTATCTGGTGTCCAGGCTGCCCAGTGAAGGATCCCAAGAAAGACCAGCGACAGGAACAACCCAGCTGAAATGGCTTGTGCCTTGGTCTCCTACCCTCTCTTGAGCTTTGAGAAGTAGCAGTGTTTAGGTGAGAGATAAATGTAGTTGTGTTACCAATAAACTCTGAAGTTCTTGTTTTTCATTAGGAAAGACTGCACTAAACCTCCTTTCACCTCCTAAAAGTTTGGGTAACTTTCTCCATATTCTCTGCCTTCAGCTTAGCCCCCAAACTCTCTGCTCAGAGAAAGAGCAATTTGCACCTGCTTCTTTCCTACCCCACCTCTTGCTACTCTTGCCGAGATGGCCTCTCATGAAAGGCAGAGAGGCAGACATATTCTAGTTCCTTTGCTACTCTTCACTTTTTCCGTATACCCATGAGTCAGTTGGAGGAGGGTAGCCCTCACCCCAGCTGGTAGTTCCGTGATCTAACTCTATCTACTGGTTGAATTCTGAAAGATGAAACATAGCAGGTTTCTGACTGGTCTGGTTCTGGCTGCCCTTCTCCCTCAAGGTAAGTAAGACTTCTCCAGGTGAAGGAAAGGACCCAAGAGGGACATTTGCACTGGGAGCGAGGTCTACTAGTAGGAGTTTTGCAGAGTAACTTCAATTTGCCAGGCACTCAGGCAGGGCTGAGATGGAGGAAACAGGTGCTCCACTTTCAACTACTTTGGCCATAGTGACTGTTGGTCTTGAATGTCTTTCAGAAGGTCTTTGGCCAGAGATCTGTGGGAAATGGTTCAGTATGTGTATGTCTGAGCCTAGGGCTGGAAGAGGGAGAAGAGCTACATGCCTTTTTTTCTTCTATAGCAGATGGCTCTGAGGTCCGGACTCTTGTTCTTTTGGCCACCAATATGTGACCACCTGGAGCCATGCCCTAGGACTTTAGGGAATGCTTTAAGAGAAAAGATAGATTTGACAATGGGATAGAGGGTCACTGTATATGCTGTAGAATGCCAACTCATCACAGTTTGCCTGGTTTTATTTTATTTTTATTTATTTATTTTTTGCCTGATTTTAAAACTGAAAATTGCAGCTACTTGACAGGCTGAGGCAAAAGGATACCTGTAGCCTAGGAGTTTGAGACCCGCCTGGGTAATATAGTGAGACCTCTCTGCTAAAAACAAAACAAAACAAAACAAAACAAAAAAAACTCTGAAGGGGCTGGGGATGCAGCTCAGTGGTTTTGCCATCTGCTTGGCAGGCACAAGGACCCCAAGTTCAATCCCCGGTACCAAAACCAAAACAAAAAAACACTTAAAAACCCCTGAAAACTGGACTGGGGACATAGCTCCATGGCAGAGCACTGCAAAAGAAAAGAAAACAAAAGCCCCTGGAAAAGTCCCATGTCCCAGGAACCTCCTCGGCCCCAGGAAAACTGGGTCAAATAGTCACTTTGATGGTTGCACTGGGACCCACAAGATTTTCACTGGAAACAACTCCAAGAATGACTATAAGAGGTGAAGCAGTGGGTGTATGTATCTCTCTGAGGGCATGTGCATAGGCTCGGGCCCTCATTCAGAAGCCTGAGAAGCAGCTGATTTGGAGTTTTTTAGAGGATGCTCTGGTATCCAAACTGGGGGCTGAGTATAAAGCTCAGGGTGAACATAGATTTCACTATTTCCTGGGATGAGAAGTTTGGATGCCAGTGCTCTGTGGGCCTGGAGATAACTCTTGCACTGTCGGAGCAGTTCAGTGGATCTAGAAAAGCTTTATTCTCACCTCTGGCTCTTAATACTTCCCATAAGACGTGATTTGTGTGTGGAGGTTCAAGAACCAATTTGATAAACAATTTTTTTTCTGTCCCCTTAAGCAAGAGTGGAGCAACTAAAATTTTTTTTTGCATGAGATTTGCTCTGGTAAATCTGGACCTATGTTTGTGTTTTTGTTTTTGTGGTACCAGGGATCGAACTCAGGACCTTGTGCTTGAGAGGCAGGCACAGTGCCAATGAGCTAAATCCCTGGCCCAATCTGGACACATGGATTGGGAGTTCATAGCAGTTCCTTCGTGCCTCAGTTATTGTGGACCCTCAGAAAGGCTTTAGTATTGAGTTTACCATCCCCTTGTTAAATGTTAGGAAGGAGCCATGGGAAGAGGAGAGGATCAGAAGGTGAAATGGGAGTGTTCTCATTGGCTGGGAAATAGAATTAGATACTTTCTAGTAGAAAAATGCAGGCATCTCCAATCTAGAAACAGTTTCTTGCCTTTCCCTGTCTTATGGGAGGCTTCATCAGTCTGTGCTCCCCTTCTACTTCTATTTTTTTTTCACTTTTTTGAGACGGGGCCTCAGTATGTAGTCAGGCTGGCGTTTAACTCACTATGTAACTCAGAACTCACTGTGATCCTCCTGCCTCATCGTTTTGAGTGCCTGGCTTCCCCTCCTGCTTCTAATTAGGGGCCTGAACTCATTTTCAGGAAAGTTCTTGAATCAACTGAGCTTCACGGTTTTCTCTGTTGCCCCAAGTCCCTTTAGACCTGTCTTCTGCTTGGACCGCAGCCTCGTCCTTCCTGGCCTCTGTGGTTCATAGGGAACTTCTGGAAGCTTTTGTTTGTCACTTCTGCCCTTCTCACTAGAAACCATAAACTGTTCTAGACTACCAAGGAGGTCCCCAGTGGAACAAGGAGGCTAGTGCAGACCACTAGCTATCTCTGAGTATGGTATTTCTTTCCCCTAGTGAGCCATTTCCAGATACCTGTGGAGGAATTTGAGGACAGAGTGTTTGTTAGTTGCAATACCAGCATCACATGGCTTGATGGAACAACAGGGACAAAAAGAGAAAATGGTGCCCTTCTGGACCTGGGAAAACGCCATCTGGATCCACGAGGATTGTATAAGTGTTTGTTGGACAAGAAAGATTCTACTGTGCAAGTATATTATCGAAGTATGTGCCTCTTGGACCCTCTGGACTAGAGTGGCGGGGCCTCTGGATGTGAGAACTTTCTGGCTAGAAGGGGATGTGGTGAACCAACTCATTCTCCAAACAAACTGAAGTCACTTTGGCAATTAGCCAGATGTGGGGGGCTGCACAGTGGGAGTGATTGCTTAACTAAGCCAGGCTGAGCAGTAAAGGCCTTGTTCCTGCAGGCTTGGTTGGGGGAAAGGTATAGTCCGTCACCTAGTTTCAGGTCTCCACCATTTAGATGATTTCTTGGTTCTCTTCAGGAATTCCTTGGGATGAGGATAAACATATGGAGTGGTAAGGCCATCATCAGCCTTTCTCCCTGGATCTTACTGCAGTTTAGGTCTTGTCATGAGATCCTAGGGTAGTACCAGAAGGCAGGGTCATTCCCCGATCTTGAAAGCTATCTTGCTCTCCCCTCTTCTTCTTTCTCCACAGTGTGCCAGAACTGTGTGGAGCTGGACTCTGCCACCCTTGCTGGCATCATTGTCACTGACATCATCGCCACCCTGCTCCTTGCTTTGGGAGTCTACTGCTTTGCAGGACATGAGACCGGAAGGCTCTCTGGGGGTTAGTGAAAGAGCAGAATGTGTGCATGTGCCATGTGTGTGTGTGTGTGTGTGTGTGTGTACCACTGAGCTCTGAATCAGCTGAATGGTCTCATCTGGAAGTCACTCTTGCAATGTGTACAGACTCCTCCTACCGTGTGTTGAAAGCACTTGTGTACCTACATTGTTCACACAGATTTCTGAGAATGTGTAGGGCATGGCCTGATGAGGATCCTGCTGAAATTTTCATGAGTCTCAATGTCCCCCCCGCCCCCCCAATAATGATTTCCTGGTTCTTTCAGGGGCTGACACTCAAGTTCTGTTGAAGAGTGAACAGCTTTATCAGGTGAGCATAGTAGGGTGGAGGCAGGAACAGGAGTGAGTGGGGATGGAGAGGCTGAGCTAAATGTTGTGTAAAGAGTCCTAGTGAGGAACTCATCACTAGGGAGGGGTGGGGAAGGGAGGCACAAGCTGTCATCTCCAGGATGTGCTGGGTCTCTTCCCGAGAGACTTCTGACTTGACTCACTGCCTCCCTTCTTGTCTCTTAGCCCCTCCGCAATCATGAGGATGCTCAGTACAGCCGTCTTGGAGAAAACTGGCACCAGAGCAAATGACCTCAAGACTGGTAGCTTCTAGAAGCACATTGTTAACTGTACCATTCCTCCTTGCTTGGCCAATAAAGATATTCCCTTCCATTCAGCTGGTGCCTGCACTTCTTAATGCTCTTGGTCAGGGCATGGAAATTGTCCTGAAATGGCTGGGCCCTCGCCTACCTAAGTCTTTCCTTCATTTCCTCTTGTCTGCTCCACAGTGTGATGTGTTGTCTCCCACCATGTCCTGGCCCACTGGTGTCTTTAGCCCAGCGGGTTTCCTGGCTGAAAGGTCTCCTTTCCATACTCCCTTTGCTACTTGTTGACTCCATCCCCTATCACAAGCCTTCTGAGAGCGGGCTGTTATGTTTAGGAGCCTTGCCACAGAGAAGTTTCCATGACATCATGAGCATGGGTGGCAGGAACATCAAGGGGCTCAGTGACTCCTTTCTTATCACAGCTCAGAGGGTATGTGCTACACAGTCACATTGCTACTAAAGAGCTTGCTGTGACTTTATGTCCCTGTTAAATAGCTGCCACTAGATGTGAAAAATCTCTCCTTTCCCTCTATGGAAGGTACCATTTTATCTTCTTTACCCAGTACCTGTTCCTGCCCTGCCCCTACCTTCTGTATGATAAACTGGGATCAGAAACCCTTCATCAATTAAAACAACTTGTTGCTCTCTGCCTACTTGGAAAGCTGGTGTTGAGACTGAGAGGGGGCTTTGGAAATTTTTAGTAGGTGTCTTCTTCAGCCAGCAGACTAGTGGTGGTTTTAAACTTTGGGAGCCTGAGAGATTTATTAAATAAAAATGTAGATCCTTGGGCCCTACTCTTGAGGAATAGGGTCCCCAAGTGATTCTGAAGCAGCCCAAATTCAGAGTCTCTGGTTTAGAGGAAGAGTGGAGGCCACTTACTCTCTTGTGTCCTTTGTGTCTCTTCCTGGAGCCTACAGCTGGGAATTTTTGTTTGTTTGTTTTCTGAATTCACAAGTAATTTACAGAACTTCGGGACAGCTTAATGACAGCGGGAGATTCCTAGACTCAAATTCCCAAAGGAGAAAAGAGCTAACTTCCACTTAGTTGGAGACATGGATGATTCTGACCACCTCTCCTTGAGATATAAGCAGACCTTAATTTCATAACAGAACAAGCTTCCAATTTAAATATGCTGCATTCAAAGTTATGATTTATTTTTACTCTCTATGTCATTTTCCTAACCCTAGACAGGTGATGGCAAATGTTTTAGAGTCTGAGTGCCCACACTGTAACCCCAAACCCACTTATTTATTGCAAACTGACAACACTGCAATTAAACTTGAATATTGGGTTGTAGTTTAGGAAAAAACCCTAATATATTAGCATTTTTTGTCTGAAGAGAAAAACAAATAACACACATGCCATAGGTTTGCCACCACTGTCCTAGACCCTACTTTTACAATGAATACTTCTACCTTGGGCTTCCCTTCCCAGCCTGTATTTCACCAACACGTTGGACCTTTCTTATGTCCTGCATACTTCCTTATACCTTGAGTTCCTTGTATTGGCTTATGTGCCACATCCACCAGATCTCAACGCTCGCCTACCATTGGAGTCTCACGGGAAGTTTAAAAATACCAACGTCTAGGTACACCCTCGGAGTTTCTGAACTTATAGATCTAGGGTACAAATGAGCCATAGCACTTTGACTAGATCTGGGGCACTGGTATAAGTACTACCTCAAACAGTACTTCTTTGTGATGAGGACAGCCAAACTTTCTATCGGCTATTTTGAAATACACAATAGGTATTGTCAACCATAGTTATCCCACTGTGCTACAGAACATTAGATGTTATTTCCCTCATCCAACTGCACCCCTGTATTTGTTAACTATCCTCTCTCCATCCCTGCTCCAACTGCCACATGGGCCTCAGGGCTTTTAAAACTGTGCAGGGTGATTTTGATATGAAACCAAGATCGAGAGGCACTTACTCTCTATCTGAACCCCTGGCACCTTCTCTCTCCCTCCTTCCCTCCTCCTTTAATTTTATATTTTATTTTATTTTATTTTTATTTTTTTTGAGATAGTGTCTTACTATGTAGTTTAGGTTGGCCTTGAAACTCACTGTATAGTCTGGGCTGGTCTTGAACTGGTGGTGAACATCCTGGGCATTTTATACAGTCATGATACCTGTTAATAGACAATTTAACTTTTTCTGTTTCTGTTGGATGTGTCTTATTTCTGTTTCTTGGCTTATTGCACTGGCTAAAACTTCCAGTAGAACGCTGAATAAGAGTGGACAAATCAGGTGTAGTGGTGCACACCTGGAATCCCAGCTAGTTGGGAGGCTGAGGCAAGAGGATCACAAGTTCAAGGCCAGTCGGGGCAATGTAGCAAGACCCTGTGTCAAAATAAAATAAAAAAGGGCTTGGGAAGAGACATCCTTGCTTTGTTGGTGATCTCAGAAGAAGAGCATTGTTTTTTTATCATTAAGCACGTTAGTTGTAGTTTTTTCTTAGATATCTTTCAACACGTTGAGGAATGTCTCTTTTCTTTTCCTTTTTTTTTTTTTGGAATGTCTCTTCTCACTGTAGTTTGCTGAGAATTTTTATCCCAAAAAGAGATGTTGAATTGTCAAAGGCTTCTTATGCTCTGATAGTGATGACTATACAATTTTACTTTTTTAATCTGTTAATAAGGTAAATTATTTTGATGATCTGATCCATTAAACCAATTTTGTACTCCTGAAAAAAGTCTCTACTTGGTCATTCTGTATTATTACTTTTATATATTGTTGAATTAAATTTGCCAAAATTTTGTTAAGGTTTCAGTATCTTGTAGAGGCTGCTTCCTGCTAGCATCTCTCTCCTGCCTGCAGCCCCTATGCACTTGCCTAGCCTAGAGGTGGCCAGACATGGTGGGGCACGCCTATAATCCCAGCACTCAGGAGGCTGAGGCAGGAGGATCCCTGTGAGTTTGAGACCAGCCTGGGCTACATAAAAACCAGAAGAAAAACCAAAAAAAAAAAAAAAAAAAAAAAAAAAAAAAAAAAAAAAAAGGTGATTTCCCCTCAGGACCTTGCACTTGCCAGGCAGGCACAGTGCCACTGAGCTACATCCCCAGCCCCATGAATGGGATTTTTTTTTTTTTTAAGACAGGGTCTTACTATGTAGTTGAGACTGACCTGGAACCTATTATGTAGCCCAGGGTGGTCTCGAACTTACAGTGATCCTCCTGCCTCAGCCTCCCGAGTGCTGGGATTACAGGCGTGCGCCACCATGCCCGGCCATGGATGGGTTTTGATGAGGAGATAAATTGGTTTTCCTATTTGGGCTATGGAAGAATGTTCACCAAAATGCTTTACTTCTTGGACACAGATTTTGCCAAGCTAATGTGAAAGTTGATGATGATTGAGAGGAAAAATTGCAAACTTCATCTACAGCAAGATTGATGGCATGATTATTTAGAAGTAAAATACTGATGTTGGATCATCTTCTAAGATTTAAACTTTGAAAGCCTGCTAGAAGGCTGCTCCTAGGGAATACAGCTATGCACACACTTGGAACTTGCTCAATGATCTTCCATTAGAAAGATCTCCCTGTTCAGCTAAACCATCATAAAGTGGTGAGAAGAAGGTACTCCTTCCCAAACTCGCCCAGGTGGGAAAAATTAAAAAAATTAAAAAGAAAGAAAAGAAAAAGTATATCTATATTCATTTGATCTGAAGTTTCTTTTAATATCTTTGTTTTAATGCCTTTGATATCAAGGTGTCTATGATTCCTCCAATAATAGGCAACCACCTACATACATGTCCTATTGGTTCTGTTTCTGTAGTAAAATTGGGTCATGTGGGCTGGGAATTTAGCTCAGTGGCATTGTGCCTGCCTTGTAAACTAAAGGTTCAGAGTTCAATCACTGGTACCAAAAAAAAAAAAAAAAAAAAAAAAAAAAAACACACATCAAAAAAAAAAAAAGACTCATGTATTTGTAGAAGCATGTCCAAAATTTGTAGGATATTCTGGCAGCCTGGAGACTCAGGGAGGAGTGGATGTTGCAGCTGTCTAAAGATAGTGTGGAGGCAAAATTCCCTCTTCAAAGGACCTCATTCTCTTTTCCCTTCAGTTGATTAGATAAGGTTCACCCACATTATGAAGGGTAATATGTTTGACTTGAAGTCTACTGACTTAAATGCTAATCTTATCTAAGAAATACTTTATAGCAACATCCAGATGTATTTGGCCGTATATCCGAATGCTGTGGCCTACCCAAGTTGACACACAAAATTAACTAGAATAAGCAACAATTTACAAGTATTGCCTCCTCAGTTTTCTGGAGGAATTAGTACAGAATTGACATTATTGCTTCCTTTTGCGTTTGGTAGATTTTGGCAGTGAAGTCATCTGAATTTGATGGGAAGGTTTTTACAGATTCAGCTTACTTACTAGGTAAAGGGCTATTCAAGTTATCTTTTATCTTCAGCGAGCTTTTTCAAGGAATGTGCCCATATCAACCAAGTTGTTAAATTGTTCATAACGGTTGTGGACTGAATGTTTGAGTTCCCTTCAAGTTCAAATGTTGAAATCCTGATCCCCAATGCGATAGCATTAAGAAGTGGGGCCTTTCAGAGGTGATTATGCCATGAGGGTGGGGCTCTCACTAATGGGATTAATGCCCTTATAAAAGAGATGCCAAAGAAGCCATTTGTCTCCTTCTGTTATATGAACTCACAGTTCTTCCCAAGGTCCCTTGAATTATGAGGGCATAGCAATGATTTCTAGCCCTGTACAAGGTCCAAAGATACCTCTGATCCTTTCAGGGAAATTTTTCTTTATCTTCTCCTTCTCCTTCTCTTTTGTACAGGGGATCGAACTTGGGACCTTGCACTTGCGAGGCAGGCAGTGGCACCACTGAGCTAAATCTCAGACCCTTTTCTTTAGTTTCTTGTGGTTTTCTCTCAAGTATGTGCTGACCACTATTAAGCTGAGAATTTGAGAGGGGTCCTCTTCAGATCTCTGGATTTCTCCCTGGGCATCTCACTCCTTTCTTGAACTCCGTCCTACGAACTGTAGAAGCTTTGGTCTCCATTCTTGCCTGCTGACTTCTGGGAGATCTTCAGGCTCTACTTAGTTCTTTCTTCCTGCACCACAACCTAGAAAGTGTGTCTAGGTTGTAAGCTGGAGCATTATTAGGGCTCGTCTTATTTGCTTCCCATCCTTAGGGCTCATTTCCCATTGTTGCCTGATATTGAATGCCTTAAAATTTATTATTTTAACCTATTTTGTCTTGTGTTTTAGCTTTTACAGGACAGATTCAATTTTTGTTGCTCCATCTTGGCCGGTGGCAGAAATCAATCTTTTCTTCCATCCATTTAATCTTTTCCTTAACTCTACATTCCTCCTTTCCACTGTGTCCCACCTCTACCCTGCATCCCACTGCAATTTTTTTGAGGGGACTACCAGAGATTGAACTCAGGACCTTACACTTGCCAGGCAGACACTGTGCTGCTGAGCTACATCCCCGGCCTCTCTGCAATTCTATAGTCCTTCAATAGTGTGTATCCCTCCTATCCTCTGCATTCTATATATATCTGCAGCTCTGCATACTGTTATCTTCCTCACCTCAGCACTGCCTTGTTCCTGCATTACTCCACCCCTGTCCCAAGTAGGAAACCGACTCAGGGTTTCAACTCCATTTCTGTCCCTCCACCTGTCTTTCCAAGAACTTCATATGGGCTGGAAAGCATTCCTCACTGCCACAATCAGTACAGGATAGGTGTTGAAAGAATATATTGGACAAGCTTCGGCTTTGAATTCCAGCCAGGCCCCTCACTGTGACTTGTACAAATGACTTAGCCTCTCTCAGGCTCACTATTTTCATCTGCAAAACAGAGGATGACAACGCCTATCTTGTGGAGCCATCATAAAGATGAAATGAGATGATACATATAAACTGCTCCACAGATTCTGGAGCATAGTAAATGCTCAGTAAACATTAGCTGTTCTTGTTTTTATCATGCTGAGCCATGTCTTCCCTTGTATGAGCACAATCAAATACATATAGAACAAAATTGCCACCCTCGAGCCAGCCTCTGACCAGCAGCTAGTGGTGAGCAACATCACTGAGACTCCTTTGGAGCAAGAGCTGGTGCTTAGAAGTGACATTTCACAGGAACAATGAGTAAAAGCTGTAGCCACAAGGCCAAGGCTGGATGTGCCCAGTATGTGGAGGGCTCCTGATCAAAAATGGCCTTTTTTTTGTTGTTGTTGTGGCCATACACATAAATAGCCTTCTGGTCCACAGGAGGTTTCTGAGTGCAGAGGGTGAGGAGAGGCCGGTCTGAGGTGGGCGGGCACAGCTCCTTCACGTTCTGCCCTCCTCTCTGCAAGCTAAGCGAGCGCTGTGGGAGACAGAGAACGAGGTCTTCCCACACTGGTCTCTGGGCGCCTGGCTGCCGCAGTGCGATCACTCCTTGCATAGCCCACATCCTGTGCTGCTTAACCGCAGCCCCGCCGCAGAGGCTTTGCTGCAGCAGCTGTCTCCTGCGCCAGAGGGAGGGGCGGCCTGCCTGCGAGGCGCCCTTCCTCCGATTCCTGCAGCCTTAGTTCAGTGGCTCTTCCTGGGACCTTATGGAAACCCGTGTCCACAAGCCGCCTCTTTCGTTACCTCCATCTACCTTTCGTAGACCCTGTTTCTGTCTTGCCCGTTTGATGAACTAACTGCACCATCAGAGATCTTTCAGGCACTCTCTGCCATCTTTGATGTTTTTGTAGAAGAGTTGGTTAAATTTCTCTCTTTCCTATTCCCTTCTCAAAGGAGAGCTTCAGGTAACCATCAGCTGGGAAAACAAACTGTACTTGCACTTGGGACCATTACTGCAAGCACTGATCTCCCTTAAAGGTGGGGAGAACCTGAGTTGTCCTGTGAAATAAGGTGGCCTCTGAGAACCTTCCAGGAAAGAAACAGCAACTCTTTCAGCCAAATACACTTTATTGCTTTTCTCTATTAGTAGATACAAATGGTCATGCAGTGGCCTACAGTGAAGACCAGGGAGGGGGCTCAGGGTGGACTCTGGATGTGGACCTGGGAATGAGGCAGGGCCCCTGCCAACAGTCCTTCCCCACAGAAGGTTGCAAAAGACAGAGAGTCAGAAAAATATAAAATTTTCAGGGACAAGGGCAAAAAATGAGAACCAAGAACTGTCATATGAAGGTACAGGATCCCATTAATGAATGTAACTGTATTGTAGACCTAGACTGTACCAATAAACTCAATAAAAAAAGAAAAATATAAATTTTTATGGAGTTGTTAGGGGAAAGGGGCAACTTCTATGGAGGAAAAAGAGGGAACAAAAGGCAGAAATAACATTCATGCAGGGGGAAAGTTCAGCAGGGAGTGAATAATAGAAATAAATATGCTGACAAGAGGGCAGGCCAGGTGTGAGGGCCTAACCAAGGACAGCAAAGCAGCAATAGCCTACAGCTGGATACCAGCAGCGAAGACGGGAAGAGGGGAGCAAGGGACAAGGCTGTAGAGCATGAATTCACCATGAAGCCGAAGAACAATTCTCTGTAGGGTCCAAGACTTGTCCAGAGAACAAGGAACAGCAGGATGCCCCAGGAGAGCCAGGCCTGAGCATTGTCTTCTGGGACCATCAGACTCCTCTCTGATTTAGGCCGGAATACAGGTCCCGTTGGCCTTTCCTGATTGGCTAGGAGCAGGACAAAGAGGGGGTGATTAGCGGGGTGAGAGGAAGTAGAGCCTAAGGAAAAAGGGCGCTGAAGATCTAGCTGCAGTGCAATGGGAAAAACTAAACTTGGAGTTAGGAGGCAGGCTTGAAATCTAGGTTCGCATGAAGGTAGGAGACTGACTTGAGCCAGTCACCTTCTTCTGTGAGTAGCTTTTGTGTCTCAAAAAAGGGACTCAGTCTAAAGACTCACCTCTCAGAGCTTTTGTCTGGGTCAGATGAAGCCACTTATGGGAAGGTAAATACCACACTCTTTGCTGGTGCTCAATAAATATTTGTTGAGTTTACCAGGTATGATAGTCAAAGTATTTAACAGGTGGCAATTCACACCTTCTGACCAGTGAGAACTATGCTAGTGGTCCTGCTCCATGGCAAGAATGAGGTCTTTAATTAGCAAATTAAGAGGCATTTGGGCGAGGGAAAAGCTGTCTTGTCTGACAGTGTGTGGGGGTGGAATGAGGGGAAGCTTGGGCTATTTGCCAATGAAGTATTATTTTTTTTAATTTTCATATTTTAGTAATTGGTTGACTGCCTTCGTGCATGCTGGTGGGCTGTCGGCCCTGAACTTATCCCATTAGAGTTTATATATGAGGTGTTTTCCATGACTGTGTTCCAGCCAATGTATAAGCCAGGGGAAGAAGAGTGTGTTTCCTCCAGCTCCTCCTCTCCATGCTTGTGGAAGTCAAGCAGGCTTTGTGATGATCCCTGCCTTGAAGGAGGCAGAGGTGGGCACATGGTGGGTTGTCCTGGGAGCCCTAAGTGAGGAGCTCTGGAGTCTCTGGAGGTGTGATGGGCACTCCTATCTGTTCCCCTGCCCCTTAGAAAAGGACACCCAGACCCCAGCTTCCCACACACTCTAGCCTGTTACCTCATAGTCTGGGTTCGGAACAGGTGGCGGCCTCTCCTTGTTTTGTCCTGTGGAGGAGGGAAGGTAAAACTATTTTTTACCCACAGAGGAACATTAAACTTGCAGGGCTGACTGCTGCAGTGACTTTAGTAGTCCTCTTTGTCCCTCCTTCTATGTCTCTCTTATCTATGCAGTAGCTCTTTCCTTTTCTTTCTTTCTTTTTCTTTCTTTCTTTCTCTTTCTTTCTTTCTTTCTTACTTTCTTTCTCTTTCTTTCTTTCTTTCTTACTTTCTTTCTTTCTTTCCTTTCTTTCTTTTGCTTTTCAGGGCCTTCACACTGAGCTACACCTCCAGAACCCCCTGCCCCTTTGAGACAGGGTCTCCCTAAGTCACTAAGTTGCCTGGGCTGGGCTTGAACTGCTGCCTCAGTTTCCCAGAGTGCTGGGATTACAGGCATGTGCCATTATGTCTGGTTTCTTTTTTCTCTCTTTCATCTTTTCTTTCATACTATTCTCCTCACTTTGTCTCTTTTCTTAGCCCAAGTGCTCCTGTTATTTCTTTCTATGGGGGAAAAGGAAAAGGCAGGAATTAACATCCCCAAAGGCCCTCTTCTCACAGCTTGGGGGGACTAGCTCTAACTACTACTGTAGACCGCTGACAGGCTTTTGTGAAGGCTCATCTTGTTAAAAAACATTGTTATGCTTTTCTGGAGAGCTTGGTATCAGAGTGAATGTGCTAAAGAAGCTGTTTGACCTCGTGTGGCCTTCCTGCCCATCCTGGCCCAGGCTGGGTACCCGCTGGTGGGAATGCTCTCTGACCAGGCTTTGGGGTCTTACCCCTGGGCCTGCCCCCAGCTCCAGTTCCTCGTTTCACAGGCTTGGCCTTGGCTTTCTTATTCTTGCTCCAGTAATAAACCAGCACCAACAAGCCCAGAGTGATGCAGATGTCCACTATGACGATTACGACCACGGCTGTCAGGTCAACCTCCATGCAGTTCTCACACACTACAGGGGACAAGGTGGGGAAAAGAGAAGAAATGAACCAGAAGAGATGCCCCAGGACACTGCAGAAGATGAAGAAGGAACAAAGGAGCTTCTCCCCTCACACTCACTTGCCAGGGCCAGAGCCCTTCCTTTCAATGTGCTGATAACAACATGGATAAAAACAAGCCTCAGGGCCAGGGATTTAGCTCAGTGGTTCTGGTGCCTGCCTCACATGGGCAAGGGCCCCAGTTCCATCCCCCATACCCAAAACAACAAGAACAACAAGAACAACAACAATAACAACAACAAAACGAAACAAAAAACAAGCCTCGGTTAAAGCTTCATTACTCATTAGTTGTGGGAATTGTGAAAAACATTTTCAACCCAAAAAAAACACCTCTGTTTCCTCATCTACAAAATGGAAACAAAATAGTATTTAACTCGTGGCTATTGAAAGGATTACATGAAAAAAAATCCCTGGTAAGTGTAAAGATTTTTGGTACCGTGCTTGAAATGTTATAAGCCCTTGATAAATATTAGTTCCCATCACTGTTTTATTATGCTTTGGCTTAGGTGGTTTTTATTTTTTTATTTCTTTTATATTTATTTATTTACTTGGTTTTCTTTTTTTAAAACTCACTATTTAGTCCAGGCTGGCCTTGAACTTATAGTAATTCTCCTACCTCCGTCTCCTGAGTGTTGGCATTCCAAGTGTGCATCACCACGCCCAGCTCTTTTAGGGGGTTTCTAATAGATGTTTTGTGTCTCTTTTACAAGTTTTTGTGAAGAATGTGCTTGTGGATGGAGCATCAGGTAAACTCTTACTAGAATGCCATTGCTTCTGGGAGTGACACAGTGTAAACGACCCAGCTCTGTCTTGTGGGAAGTTATTTTAGACCTAGCACTGACAGGTTACTCAGATAGCTCTATGCTGGTATTTAATCTGCATTCCGAAAAATATTGATGCTGTGAGTCCCTGGAGAATCCCAGGATTGCATGTAAGAGGAAGACTTAAGATGCCAGAGGACTGCAGGTAGGGTTGGGGAAGTCAGTGAGCCTGGCTATTTAAAACAATCCTCTGGAAAATTTCCAAGTTTTAGCTATTATAAATTGTGCCACTATATTAAAGAGTTTGAAGGTGGGGAGGGGAGGAGGGGGAAGACCTGGCATGTAAAGGTACAAGATCCCAGTAATGAATGTAACTGTACTGTCTACCTAGAATGTACCAATAAATTCAATTTAAATGAAAAAAAAAAACAAACAACAAAAAAACGATCCTCTTGTGTTACCTCTAGCTTTTAGGTAGAGATAATGACTCTTTTCATTGTCTGTATAGCAGACGTAATAACCACTGTGCTCCATTTCTGAAAAGTTTTCAATTATTAGTTGTTCGTTATGTTCACCGGATTCTTCTCCATCAATTTTTTCCCATTTTATTGAGTTTGTTGCAGGATCCAGAAAGCATGTCACCACTACCCTGGTTCCTGAGATGGAAACTTTATATTCTGAGGAATGGAAGACAAGAGATGGGAAATAGGATGGAGAAACCAAGAAAAAGAAAAAAAAAAAAAGACAAATTAGTGACAAGAAAACTAACCAAATGCAGAAAGTCACTTGTAACCTGGGTCTTATACTTGCTTGTCAGAAGGGAGGCTTACTGGCTAGAAGGTTTGGAGAGGGGATGGGTGGGAGGAGGGGGACCAGAGAACCTTCTAGAAGGTACTTTCAGGGTTTGGGCGGGGAAATGAGGACTGGGGAAGGGAAAGGTAGAAGTAAAGAAAGCTTCACAAAACTCCCTTATTTGGAATTTCTATAATGGGGTTGGGCCTATATAGTGCAGAAATCCTTAGTTCATGGGCTAATCTCTTTCAGTCAGTTTCTTCTCTACCTACCAATCTGGGCAGCTTAAGTGACCATAAACTCACGTTTCGGTGTTTCATTTTCTGGAAATAAATAAAGAGGAAAAAGTATTAAGAAAAAAATTCTGATTTATATTTAAACTTGAGGTAAAATTTTTCTAATGGGACTAGACAATGCCCCCCAGAGTTCTCAAAGTGGGTGCTGTTACTCAGGAAGCCCCAAGCCTTGAAGGTGAGGAATGTTCTTAACCTGGAGACATGCTATTGGTATACTGGAACTTGCACACATTGAATTGTGTTTTGTTGTTGTTGTTGTTATTTGTTTTTGGTACTGGGGATCAAACTTGGGACCTTGTGCATGCAAGGCGGGAGGCAGAACCACTGAGCTAAATCCCGGCCCTCAAATTGTGAATATAGCAACATGTGCTCCTTGACCCAGACCCACGAAGGAAATCTTAAAGTTCTAAAGCTGGAAAAATTCTAGAAGTCTTCTTGCATTAGCCAGAACTTTCTTCCATACACATATAGAAAGGTCTTTTCAAAGATAAAGACCTCTACACATTTGAATCACAGAGTCTTATTCATTTCTTATTATTCAGAAATGCTTCCTTATAACACAGTTTTCCATAATACAGATCAAACATCTCATTCCATATCATTTTCTCTGTTGTCTTTAGATGACGCAAACCACTCTACAGATTTTACTTTGAGCACTGGGGATCAAATCTACTATGCTGGACACACTCTTCCATGGAGCTACATTCCCAGCCTCTGCTCTACAGAGGCCCTGTTCTGCAGATTTTAAAGGAATGGCTCTTCCAATAAAAAGCGGCTTCACTTTGCCTCTGAGCACAATCAGACCTCAATTATTTTTGCTAAATGGAGGGATCATTGGTGTGAAAAACTGAAATCCACTAATGTAATTTGGGGAACCAGCAACTTTCCCCACAACCCTGGGAAGTGGGGCTGGGGGTCCCTGTTCTCTGGAAGGCTTGTGGCCAGAACAAGGGGCAACACTAGGTTGTGGAAGATCCTGTACATGGCAGATGGAAGAGGGCGGAGGTGGCAGTACCCAGAGGTAGCATGCTTCTGAGGAGGAGTGCTGGGCTCAGGGACAGAGCTCAGCTGTGTGAGCAAGGACAGATCATTTTACCTCTCTTCATGAGGGAAATGGAGATGAAATGCCTTCCTAATAGGCTTTTTATGAGAATTAAGTGGATTCTGAAAGTGGAAGTCAAGACAAATGCTAGTTTCTTCCTGTCCTGTTTGGGATCCTGCTACCACAGAGAAGAGAACTGAGTTTACACCAGCTGTTTGGGCAGCCATCTGGCCAAGATTGCATACAACATAAAGAAATCCTTCACCACCTGCTAATAACTGGGAGTTGAATATAACAATAGATAATATTATTTTGAATTACTAATTGTCCAGCATTGATTTTTTAAAAAAGGAAATGTTACATAAACAATAAATTATACATAACTTAAAAGTGAATAGAAGCCAGGTGTAGCGGCGCGTGCCTATAATCCCAGCCTGGAGATTCTCGGACTCTGAGAGGCTGAGGCAAGAGTATCACAAGCCAAGTTTGGGCAACTTCGTGAGAACTTGTGTCAAAATTTAAAAAGGGCCAGGGGTGTAGCTCAGTGTGAAGGTCCTGATTTCAATCCCTCAGACTAAAAACAAAGCAAAGCAAATAACTACACATTATACTCTCTGATAGGTTTGTTTGGAAAAAAAACACACAAAGAAAATTGCTAAGGCCCTTTATTGGCACACATTTGGTAGCAGAGATATTAGATTCAATACATTAATTTAAGGGCTTAGATGTTTATACTTGGAAATAGGTGTGTTCAGAAAAATTGTATACATGGCAATTTTCATACACATACATGTATTTCATGATGGTTAAAAATGTGCTTCAGTGTCATAAAAATTTGCATTTATATCTCTGTGAATGGGCTAATTATTTACTTTTTAAGCCTCGGTCTCTTCATCTATAGAATAGGGATGGATGCTAAAAGATTTTTTTTTTCTTTTTGTGGTGCCAGGGCCTTTGCACTGAACTATACCCCAGCCCTATTTTATTTTGAGACAAGGTCTTGCTAAATTCCCCCAGTTAAGCTTTAATTCACATCTTCCTGCCTCAGCCTCTCAGAGTGCTGGGATCACAGCCATCACATCTGGTGTAAGGATCAGTTGTACCCCTAACCCCACCCCTATGATGGCAACTGAACCCAGAGCCTTGTTCATGTGGGGCAAGCAGTGTACCCCTGAGATACATTCTCAGCCCAGTGTTAGAAGAACTAAAAGGAGAAATTCAGATAAAACATTTAGAGCAATACCTAGAACATACATGCCTAGTGAATTTTAAGGCTTATTATTAACATAGCAGTGTGCTTTCTCTCCCTTCCTTCCTTCTTTCCTTCCTTCCTTCTTTTTTCTTTCTTTCTTTCCTTCCTTCCTTCCTTCTTTCTTTCTTTCTTTCGTAGTGGGGATCAAACTCGGGCCCTTGCGCTTTCTAGGCAGGGGGCAGAACCACTGAGTCAAATCCCGGACCCTAGTCAGTGTTCATTCTGTATAATAATAGCCAAAATTCACCTACTACTTTTTATTTGTCAGATGATTTCTTAAATGAAATACTCACTCAACCCTTGTAACAATGCTATCAGCTAGTACTATATCATTATTACTGTATTTCTATTTTACACAAGATGTGCTAATGCACAGAGAAATTAAGTAATTTATTCAAAGATACCTGGAAAGTAAGGAGTTGAGCCAGGATTCAAACACGGCAATCTAACTTCAGAGTTAGACTCTTACCCTCATACAGTGTGGCTTTTATCTCCTTTACCTAAAGTATTCCTCTTCCTGGAATACAAGCTCATTCTTTAAAATTCAGCCAGTGAATCACCTCCCCATAGCCTTTCTCAACTATACTCTTCTTTCTTTATACTACATTTTATTCTGTGTCTTCCCATATCATTGCACACAACACACTCCATTACCAATTACTTATCCGTCAAGGTAGTTGGCTTCTTGAGGACAGGGAATTAGCAAAGCATCCATAGTTTTGTTCATTTGTCCATTCAAAAAATGTTTGTTGAGGGCCGGGGATTTAGCTTAGTGGTTCCAGCGCCTGCCTCGCAAGCACGAGGACTCGAGTTCGATCCCCGGTACCAAAAACAAAACAAAACAAAAAATGTTTGTTGGAGCTGAGCATGGTGTGCACGTGTAACTCCAGCTACTCAGGAGGCTTAGGCAGGAGGATTGTAAGTTCAAGGCCCATCTGAACAACTTAGTGAGACCCTGCTACAAAATTTTTTAAAAAAGTAAAAAGAGATGGGGATGTAGCTACAATGTTTGTGTTGCATGTATCAGGCTTTGGGTTCAATTCTCAGCACTGCAGAAAAAAAAAATTTCATTGAATATCTACCATGAGCCAGACCTGGGCCGAGTAAATGAGACACTGTCTCTACTTTTAAGAAACTCATAGCTCATTAAAAAACACATAGAAGCTCCAACCCACACCTACGTTGTGTTTTCTCTTCACAGCATGCTCAGGGATATGAATGACACGGCTATAATCAGGGCAGCTTGCAACAAATACAGGCACACCTCATTTTTCCCCTCTAACAGCTCTGGTTCTCAGTGTTTACACCTACGATTGTCCACTATGACCATCTTGACCCACATTTGAGAATAAATTGTATAGAATGAAAATCCTCTTACCAGTTTTGTCAGCATCTGAAAAAGAAACAATAAGCCATTAGCACTATTCCTATCAGTAGTTATGATCATTCCTTGCTTTTGTAGGTTAGGATGCCTCGCTGACTCTAGAAGACAATGGATCTTCAAATCCCTTTGGCTGTACATAGCGAGCTGCTTGGGGCCTCGTGTTCATTTGATGGCCATTTCCAAAAATGGTTGCTAAGGACACCTCCAGATAGGCAGCACAGTGGAAAGTGGACTAGCACGGTGCTGCTTCTGAACACAACAGTGGTCCCTTCACTTCGGAGGAGCTAATTGAACAGAGAGGCTTCTAGTACCAGGACACTGCAGACTCTGCTGCTGTGATGGAGAAAGCAAGTGCAGGCCAGGCGCATTCATATGCATGTGTGCTCATGGCCACATGCATTCAGAGCATTCAGACATGAGATTCAGAATGTGCATCCAAACGCTGCCTGGAGGGTCATCCAGGCTCACCCTGTACATGCATTCTGATTGGCCACATGTCCTGTATGAAACTGCACAGCAAGTAGAAATGGCAACAAATGAAAACTGTTGGCACTTTCCACTGAATTTAACAGTCTCAATTTTTCTTTTGAATAGTTAAGACTCATTTCTTACGATCTTTGTCGATTCCCTCTCCTGGGCTAGATTTATAAGGAGAAGGCAAAGAAAAAATAGTAGAAACCCCTTTTACTGGTCTCTGTAGGAGCTCTGTAGGAGAGAGCTCCACTCACAAATATGGTCAGTCCTGAGGGATGTGTCACAAGGGGGCTCTGTCATTGTGTGAAAGTCACAGAGGGTTCTCACATGAACCTAGATGGCTGCGTACCTAGTCTATATGGTATTGGCTGCTGCTCCTGGGCTATAAACTTCTACTGTGTGATAGATACTGTGTTGAATACTGTAGCCAACTGGGACACAATAGTATCTGTGCACTTAGACACACCCAAACACAAAAGGTACTGTAAAAATACCTAGTGATAGTCATTTTTCAGCTTTGCTATAATCTTACGGAATCACTGTTGTATATTTGGCCACTTGTTGACTGAAACATTGTTATTGGTGCATGGCATACCAAAAATTTGGAGTTGATTTTTCAACAAAGAAAGAAAGCACACCTTACCTTCCTGCCCCCAAGTGCCAACTGGGGAAAAAAAAAAAAAAAAGAAACAGAGTTAGTAGATGTGATTGCCTGCAATTCCAAGCAGAAAAAATGACTGTGGTTCATTTTGACCGTTGATGAAGGCACTGAAGTCCCTCCCAGCCAATGTTGCAGTACAGTGGTTTCTATAACTCAGAAGAGTTACATTTACTGTTGGGTGCTGACTGGGAGTACATGCTCACTTTGGGAGAAGAGGGCTGGGGATTTAGCTCAGTGGTTCAGCCGCCTGTCTTGCAAGCGCAAAGTCCTGAGTTCAATACCTAGCACCAAAAAACAAAAACAAACAAACAAAAAATGTGGGAGGAGAGAGCAAGGGAAATCTAGCATTGAACCTGAATACATGGTATTTGACCAACAGAAGTTAGAAGAAAAAGTTGGGATGCCTTTGGGGTAACCAGAAACATAACAAAAGAATTTTGCAATCAAGCCTCCATTTTGAAAATTGGTCTCAGACTGAAAGAAAAAGAAGCTCTTGACTGGGTACAAATATTGAGATTCTGGTTCCATCTTTGGCTCCTGCTAGGTTGATGGCTCAGTTTTTCCATTGTTTTCTGCTTGAGACAGAGGCAGAGATATTTGAAACCGATTACTCATCCAATAGAGCTTAAACAGTGAAGAACCTGATTAAATTTCTTCTGGGGCCTCCAGAGTCTGCTCCAGAATGACGTTACAGTGACCAGCTTTCCCGGTGTTACCTGAGCATTTTCTGTTTACCAATAGCCTCTGTACTGGGTGAGATATTCTCCCATCCCCAGAGCAGACTGAGCACTTTCTCATGATGTCAAATTTCTAGGGATCCTTGGGTCTTTGATATGTCCTCTTTTTCCCTTTTTCTTTTCTTCTCCTTCCCTTTCCTTTATGCTTTGCATTGCTTTGCCTTTTCTTAGGAAGAGCTTACTTTATACCACTGGTCTCTAAGAAAATGCCTGACTAATCCTGCAGGAGTCACATTCTATCCCTTGAGACTCAAAGTATATTTATTTTTTGCCTAGTCACAGAATAATGCACCTGGGAGCTTATTGGAAATGTGGAATGTGGAATGTGTTTCAGTCCTGAAACAGAAGCTGCATTTTAAAAGGGCCCCTGGGTGATTTGTGTCTGTATTAAAGACTGAGAAACCCAGGCAGGAAGTGGATATATAATGGCTGTGGCTCTGAGATAGGAGCCTCACCTATAATGGTATTTGCTGGCTCTTTGAAATAAAGTCATCATGAGCTGTTTTGCTTCATATAGTGCAGCCATCCTGAGCAATACCGATCGTCCAGATTAACTCCAGCACTAATCATATTATTTCCAATAATTTACTGAACTTGTTTGAGTATTAATTTTTTTCATGTGTAAAATAGAGAATATAATGCCTTTCTTCTAGGGTGGAGGTAAGGATAAGTTAAGGTGAGTAGAGAATTTTTCTTTACACAATATTAGCGCTCAATAAGGGCTGGGATGAGGCTCAGTGCTGCTGCACCTGCCTGGCAAGCACAAGGTCCTGAGTTCCATTTCTGGTATGGAAAGAAAAACAAAAAACAAAAAACAAAAAACACCCCAAAACCCAAAACACAATAGCACTCAATAAATGGCACTTTTTAACTTTATTTATCTCATGTGAGACATGCAAGTGCTCTTGGTTATTCATCAATTTATATCTTACCTTGCTTCAAAAAAGACTAAGTTAATTGAAAGCTCTCAGTCACTGGAAGAGGACTGAAAACTATAAAGCATTTAATTATATCAAAGATACTAAATTTTCTATACTTTGTGCAGAGTTTGGGTGCAATAACTTAGTCTCCTCAAAACAAAAAGCGGAGTTTAGCTCTTCTAATCTCTTTTGTGTTAGTTCTTAAGGGGTGGGTGAGTTAACCGACAGATAGGCTTGTTCTTGGGGGCAGAGACCTCTTTGCACTTGATGGATCTGATCATCTCAACTGCTTTTCTTTGGCTGTTCCCTGAATGGTTTCCCACGCACCTGGGCACATTGCTTTTGTTTGTCTCCATCTCCAATCCCTGCTCTAACGGTAGCACAAACAGTTCCTTATATCTTCTGGTAAATAAAACTCCTTCGCATTCCTGTGCTACATCTGGAAGACCCCGTGCTTCCAGTGTCTGGAGAAACCACCCTCCTTCATTCCACCCCACTCACCTGACAGGAGGCAGAGTCCCAGAACTCTCCAGAGAGTGCTCGACTGCATTCTTCTTTCACTGGACGTTTGCTTTACTAAGATGGCGGAGATGAGTCAGTTTACTACTTCTGAGAAGGAAACCAGGATATTTTCAGAAAGGGACATTTTTTAAATATGTGCCAGATACAAGTCCCTGGGGCCTTTGTTCCCAATCCTGGGATGAAAAAGGGGGTGCTCGAAGGGGAGACTCACCATTTTCTGAAGCAGGCACCTGAGGCTGGGAGGGGAGGAGGGTTTCTATACCCCACACAGGAAGTGCTGAGGGGCCTCAGGGCCCATGGGTTCTGCGTCACTTGGCAATGTTTAAGTCAGAGGCCTCCACCTGGATGGCCCGAGGAAAGCTGGGCCCCACAGATTTCGCATAAGGATAAACAAGAAGATCCTGGCAAAACCTAAAGGTGTTATAAGTACCTGCCATTTAGTTGCCTGGGCCATGTACGCATCCCTAGCATCTGCTTTCTCAGATGCCCCTTCCCCCTCTTTGCTGTGGCAGGAAGAGAGGCGCACTGAATATTTCTTTTCTTTATGGTGTTCCTGGCATGTAACAGCAGGATAGAGCCATCTCATTAAGAAGATCTTTTGGCTTGAAAATATGCGTCTGTTTAAAACATGAGTTGCCATTTTCCCCTATAATCTTTGCAAAAATACTTAATAATACAATACTCAATGTTAAGAAGGGTAAAGTCTCAAATCTACTTGTCTAAGGGTTAACTGACACAGACTTTCCTTGTTTATACACATGCACTAATCAAAAGTTTGCTATGTCCTGAAATTATGCTAAGGGCTTTACTGACATAGCTCACTTAATCCTCAAAACAATACTCCAAGCTAGGTATTATTTTTATCCCCATTTTATGCTGAGCAAGTCAAAGTTCAGACAGTTTCAAACGTGTTGTGGATTACAAAACAGGAACTCTAGAAAATATTTGGGCATAATTATTTGGCAAATATTTAATTCCACTGTACTTTGCTCTAGCTTTGTGGTGGGTGCTACTCTTCTAGCAGTAACAGGACAGATAGACCCCCATGGACAAAGAAAGGAAGCGTGGGCATGAAACAGCTGTGGGAGTGACAGAAGGGGAGCCCAAAAGTGGAGCATGGTGATACACACCTGTTATCTCAGCACTCAGGGGGCCGAGACAGGAGGATTGCTCCCAGTTCTGGACCAACCTGGGCTACATAATGAGTTCAAAAGAGACTCTATCTCAAACAAACCAACTAACTAACTAAATAAATAAATAAATAAAAACCAAACAGAAGAGGGGCCCAAGACAGTCTAGGGTAGAGAAAGTCTCCCTGATCAGATAATGCCTAAGCTAAACTGACAGGTGAACAGGGTGAAACAGGCAGAGCAGACAGGCAAAGGATCCAGGGGGAGCAACAAATCTGAAGTTAAAGATAAGAGAAAAGGCAAAAGAGAGGAGAAAAGGAAAGGCAAGAAGTCAGATAGGAAACTCAGTGGGGGCTGAGAGGGGGATTCATGAGCCATGCTGTGGATTTTCATGGATTTTCTGAGAGCACGGAAAACAATTAAAGGGTTTCAAACAGAGGAGTGACAGGCTGGGCATGGTGGCGCATGCCTGTAATCCCAGCACTCGGGAGGCTGAGGCAGGAAGATCACTGTCAGTTGGAGACCAGCCTGGGCTACATAGTGAGTTCCAGGTCAGTCTCAACTACATAGTGAGACCCTGTCTCAAAAACCAAAACCAAAACCAAACCAAACAAACAAACAAAAAAATCCCAAAAAACAGAAGAGTGACAGTATCAGAGTCTCTAAAATTTTTAAACCAAAAATGTTCTAATCATGGAAGTAATACATGCATATGTTAAGAACAACAAAGAATATGGGGGGGCTAAATACCAACAGACCCCTACCTCACCTCGCCGCACATCATGCTTCTTCCTAGAGAAAACCATTTTTTAAACTGTTTCTTCTTCCTCTTCTCCCTCTCGCTCTTCTCTTTTCTTGGTGTTTACCTTCAAATCTCTAAGTGTACAGTGCCATCAGTTGAGTTCTCTAGAAGACACAGTTTGAGGGGAGATTTGTGTGCAGCTGGCCTGCGGAGGGAGGACAGGATCAACGCCACCCCTGAGGGAGGTGGGGAGAGAGGGAGAAAGTAAACTGCATGAGATGGCAACAGAGGTCTCAGTCAACACCTCGGGAGGGAGTTCTCAGGATGGCACGGCCCTTCAGAGTCTTTCTGAAATGAAGCAAGGGGTGCACCACTCACTTGTTAGATGTGAGCCGTTCCCAGAGAAAGGTGTGAGCTTGGGTGAGGCAGCTGCTTCTGCCTGTGACAGGGCTCTGTTATGATCCTCAGGGGACATCAATCCCAGCAGCTGGGGGAGGGAGCAGTCCCAAGTGGGTACCTGGATGGTGCCGCCGCATAGCATCCAAGCAGTTCACGGCTGTATTGCTAGGGTCCATTTGCTTTGTAGAATGATTTCGGGATCCTGCTTGATCCCTTCACTTGGAGAGGCTTATAAAAGGAAAGTCGATGGGACAAGTGACAGTCCCACTACAACTGTTCTGGGGACTCCATCTGATACTCAGCATCTCTATGTTTTGTTACCCGGTCTGGGTCACTCCCAGCCCCAGCTGGCACCTTTGCTGACCTAAGGGAAGACATAGCTGAGTCCCTGGTCATCACGGCCTATTCAGGCCGCGGCTGCTGCTCTTGCCCACTTACCATCAGCACTGCACAGTGGGGACCAAAGGGTGTCCAAGGAGCCTTGGGTTCTATCTTTTCTCCCAGCTCCCTGTAGTTCATTTCCTTCTGATGAGGAGAGATGCCCTCTTCTGGGAAAGCAAATCTTTTTTTTTTTCCTTCTGGTCTTTTGGCAGGGGAATAGCTGTGTATCACGAATCTAAGGGTGCTTACTGATGTTCCTACTTCTAACTCTCAGTTCCTGGACACAACCATTCCACTTTTGGGGAACAGACTACTGTATTACAGCCCTCGGTTTGAGATGTACACCGCATCCTGCAGGGCAGTACACATCCTAGCAGGCTGTCATTTCTGAGTTGATATACCTTAGCTGTGTCTTTAGAAGGATATTCCACCACACTGGCAGCTTGGGAATGCTGTGGTAGAGGATAGGACCAGCGTGTTCCACGGTCAGATGTCCACTGGCAAACCTTTTTGGTAAAGTGGCCTGTACTTATGTATGCAAAAATCCAAGGCCGACAGGTCAGACAGTGTGTGAACTCTTGGGTAGTAGGGCTAGCTGAGGTACTGTAGGCAAGAAAGCCAAACCCATATCACATGTCAAATGAATTGAGCAGGCCTACCAAATGAATCGAGTCCTTTCCAGGTTTGGCTTGGAAAGAGTCCAGTGTATTCCACTCACCAAGAAGTGATGGGTTGGTTTCCTTCAGGGTGACGCCCAGTCTGGAGCCCAGCACCTGACTCTGTTTTGGTAGTGGTAGTAGCTAGATCAGCTTTGGTGAGTTGGAGCCCACACCACTGTGCTCAGTCGTGGCCTCCACCGTTGCCGTCAAAGATGGGCATTAACCTGTGACACAAAGATTTGCACCCCTCATTAGGACTCCCATAGGTCCACACATGTGCCCTTTCCCCAGACTTCCCTGTCTCCAACCTTTTACTATTACAAATCATTCATCACTGTCCATGAGTCTCTACATAGTCTAACATTAGGCCACTTTCCTTTCCACAAAAAGTGGATGTCTAGGTGCTGTGCCACCTATGTTACCCTTTGGGAGGATTCCCTTCACTGGGATTCTCAAGGCTACCTCTGGGTAGGACTGCAGGGCTGCGGCACTCCAGTTCGCGACTCCATTTGCATAGTGAGCTGGCATGTTCCAGAGCTCAGGATCTGTTCTCCTGTGTTGGCTGTCCTAGAGGATTGGCCACCATCATCCATGGGTGGAGATGAGAGGAAAGCAGTGTGAATGAGGTAGGCGTCTGGGCTGTGTGCTCTGGCAGCTGCAGTTTCTATCCTGTGTTCAAACCTGATCCAGATTGTACTTACTACATTTTACAATGGGTGGCTGTTCTACTATCTACTTTGTGACTTGGTTCTTCATTTGTGATGGGCAGTTCTGGCGTAATGATCATTCGATGCCCTATACTCAGCCACTTAACTTCTACCAGTTTACCTACTCTGGTAGGTCCTCGTGGTGAAGAACTGTATGAATCACTGCTGTATTTTGAACATGCATCATGCTATTTTTTTTTTTAAGTGGGGATCGAACTCGGGTCCTTGTGCTTGCAAGGCAGAAGTGGCAGAACCACTGAGCTAAATCCCCGGCCTCGCGTCATGGTATTTTAATAGCCTTTCTTATGGAGGACCTGACTTTTCTTTTAGTTCATCAGTTCTAGATATGAGAATTAGCTCAGTGCTAGAAACCAAAAAGAGAATCATAACTTTTTATTGAGGAAGCTCACCTCCACTCATTTAATCTTGAATTTCTTTTGGGAAAACACATATGCATTGTCAGATACAGTGTGTATGGGATGTACTTACATTTAAAAATTGTTGTTTATCTGAAATTAAAATTTAACTGACTTTAAGTATGCCACAGTCTATCAGTCATTTCCAAGATCCCTGTGAATCAGGTCTCTTAGTTGCCACTTAGTCCTTATGGCTGTCTTACTTTGGAAGTTAAGTGCTGCCGTTGCTTGTGCTACCATACCTGGCCTCATTTCCATTATTAACTAGGAAACCAGGTCTGTGGTGGAACTTGGCCTACACAAAGTGGCCAGCGTTGAGCTTCTCCAGAATGCTGGCACTCCAGCAACAGAATCCTCTTTGCAAATCCTCCAAGTATTCCCTGAGGGACAGTCAGCCGGCGGGTTTTCCAGCATGATGTAGCAGATTCATTCTACTATGCTCAGTGCTCTGAGCTTCTTCAGTCCTTTGTCTATGTTAGCCATGGCATTTCTGACTGCCTACTTCATTTAGTGTGGGCCACCACTTTCAAGAGCAAAGGCCTTGGGCCGGTTATTTAGCACAGTGGTTCCACCGCCTGCCTCGCAAGCGCAAGGTCCCAAGTTATAATCACCGGTACAAAAAAAAAAAAAAAAAAAAAAAAAAAA